GATGTGTAGAAATAGGGAAAGAATGTAAATTATTGTAGATGAGAATTCTGTATATTAGTTCTTGGAGGGGAATTTTGAATTTCTTAAGAATTGAAAAGGAAATTAAATTGCTACAAAAACTGTGGGCAATGCAGGTGGATCTGCCGTGACTGAACTAAGGAGGGCACTGGAAGAGTACTTGTCTCTTCTTATTGGGCTCACCAAGAAAGGTTTTAAGGGCTCATTTATATGCTAATCATTTGTCAGTCTCTTCCTTTTCTCCTTTTCTAATGAATTGCTATATATATCTTGCAGAACATGGACTCGAGGGCTTGGTCGAGTTCAAGTGGAAAAATCTGGAAAGTGGCCGGCAGGTAAGTCTATCAAATTCTCAACCTTCGGCTGCTTCTGGAAAACCTTTGTTGTTAGTAGTGGACTGGTAATTAGAATTGAAATATGATTGAGCAGGAAAACTCTGTGGCAAACTCCTGGTTTGAATTATTATCTGTCATTCACATGATAGCAATGCTTACTTTGTCAGAGGCTAACACATTGATGATCCCTAAGGATCGCTCTGGTTCTGGCATTAGGGTTGTATCTTCAGGTTCTCATTCTTATCCTCAACGCTCTATTTTTAGTCATGAATTATTCAGAGGTAGTTCTTTTTGACTCAATGGATTGTGATTAATCTATAACGTAAAACCCAGATTGTAAGAGGGATGCTGTTGATTTACTGCTTAAGGCATCAGGGTGGGTATTCTGTGTCCGTGAAATCTTGGCTCGTTTACCACCAGATATCAAGTATGTTAAGAAAGACGCAGAATTAAGGATTTTTCGTGGGACTTAGAGTCAATATGAATAGTTGTCATTGATTCTGTGTACTCAGGAAAACCTTTTCAAAAGATTTCCAAGATGGTGTCCTGGAGGCTATATCCATTCAAGCGCTAGGCCAGGTATGGTGCTAGTCGACCTCTGCAATTGTCTTGAGCTTCTGTGTTTCCTTCAAAATGCAGATTAACAGACATTTATTACCTCTTCTATTTTGTAACAACCAATTATAAGTCAAAATGTCTGGCATTTTATCATCAAATGGGAATTAGAGGAAACTAATACTACTTTCAAGTTCAGGGAACTGAAATTCAGCTCGGTTTCGCTGTTGAAAGTCAAAAGGCTTCTTTATCTGTGAAGAGGAGGTTGGCATGTGAACAGCTGATCTACTTTAGTCAGGTTTGTATTTATGCTCTAATTCTTCCTGAGACTTTGACTTGTCAAGCTCCTACACGATGCTCTATTGCATCTATTTCAACGATTATGATTTTAGAAGCCTCTTTCTGTAGAATTCACCAGTCAACTGAAGGAACAGATAACTTTCATTTAGTATGTACTAGAAGACTATTTCTTAAAATATTTTCTTGATGCATTTGGTAAACTTAACTTCTTTTCTTAGGTGTTAAGCTCACTGACCTTCATTGTTTCTCAACTCTCATCGTTAGTCTTTGTCTCATTTCAGGCTTATCACTTCTTGTCAGGGCTTGACATGAGTAATGGGCATGGAAAGAAGCATCTCTGTTTCATTAAGTGGAAGTTCCTTGAAGCAAAGGTTTTCTTTGCAGTCAACTTCTTAAATTCTGATTGCTGTGTTGATCTTAGAGTTGCGTTTCATAATTTTGCACCAACTGATTCTAATTATTCTACACAACCTATTAGGCTGCAGCTTACTACTACCATGGTCTGATCCTTGACAAGGGCACCGAACCAGCCTGTCATGTTAGTGCTGTATGCTGTTTTCTAGCTGCAGGTGGGCTTTTGTCAGAGAGCAAGAAGGCCTGCTTAACCTTTTGCCTCACAGCTCCTGTTACCAGGTTGGTTTGGGCAGTGTTTTGTAAGAAGTACCTAAGAAAGGTAATTGTTTTGTTGTCCTTGAAATTTTATTTACGCTTATTTCCCTGAATTTTCTTGAAGATCTCCTCCGCTTTGGGGTGCAATGAAGCACTTGCATCAGAAAATTCCTGAAGTTGCATCAAGGAAGTCTCAGATGTATGGCTACCTCTTGGAAGAAGAGAAGTGTGTGGTTCTCCAGTTGACCTTTATTTGTATTTCAGTTCATCTTATGTTGTTTATATTACTGTCCAAAAGTTGAATCTGCGAAAAAAAGTAGAGATCCTAACAAAGTTAATGATGCAGGGCTCTACAAGCACTGCCTGACCTACCAGATTTCCAGTTGTCATTGGCACCTGATGACTATGTATTGCCGGAAATAGATCCAGCATGGGATCGCGATAAGTGGGGCATACATAGTCAGCCCTTAAAGGAGCACCTCAAAGATTCTGAAGATGAGACTGGAACTTAATGAAACCCTCTATGAACTCTTCTTTTGTGCTCTAATGAACTTGAAACTATGCCACGCAAGGCTAATACAGTACCATACCTTACCAAGTTGCCATAGGATAGCAACAAGATACTTTCTTGATCTGTCTCCACATCCATGTAAATTTTTGTTTAAAACGCTGTCTAATAAAACTTGTAAAGAGTTTGTATCTCTAGAATCATGTTCTTCTGTTTCGATGCTAGACAAATAGGCACCAGATGTATCCTTTCCATTAGAATTAATCTTGGAATGGTTCTTGTGATGATCACCAGACAAGCAAAACTCATCAGCAGTGCGTGCAGCAAAAGTTGGATATGGTAGCTCCGGTCATGGAAGAATCTTCATATAGGTTAACATCTGATTTCCCAACTCTTGATTTTTCAAGACTTCATAGCTACAAACAGTCGACTAAGTAACAACATTATTTCTTAGCAAATATAAAACGAGGAAGTGTTGAGAGTCAATTTCGAGAATAGAAAACATAAAATGAGAAAGCATGATTCAAATGCCCTTAAAAGGTTCACGAAATTTTAGTCAGCTGCCCTTATAATAAAAATTTACAACTATCCAAAACACAATCGTTTACGTGATCTATTCTTTTAATTCCTCCAATGACGAGCAGAATAAAACGAAGACACGTCTACTCCTCTTTCATCTTGTAAAACAAAAGGCATCCAGGACCAGAAATCAATTGTCAACCAGAAGCTCCTTTTTAACCTTATTTCCTCTTTGTTTAACTTTCCTGGTCAGCCTCTACTCTTCACTGCTCATAAGTCACTCAGTTGCATGAGACATGAGCTTGTAAGCAGCTAAAATATTGAGTGCCAGGTAGCAAAAGAAAGCAAGGTATGATAGCACAGTAGATATCAAGAGTTGGTGGCAGAACTTGGTCACGTAACTGCAAAAAGGATTCCAAAAAGCCTCTCGTTGACCATATTTACTCAAGTAACCAACAGCTGTTGCTGCTGCACATCCAGATATCATCAACACCGTCATCACCTGCAATGCATTTTTTCAAATAAGCAAAAAAGAAACAGAGAAACAACTAGTACAAAGTTGAGTACTAAAACCAAGAGAGAAGGTAAAGTGAATAATGCATAATGGAATACAATGAACTAAGAAGAGAAAAAGGTGATGACTTCCTCAATCAAATACATACCATGTTATCAGCATTTTATAACGTTCTGTCTTAAAATCATTTCTCGTGAAGCAAAATTGCATGAATGCAGGACGTGGATCAAGGGAACCCATCGGGGAAGAGGGCAGGCCCCCATTCTAACAAAACTATTAGAATGTTGGTGAATTTGCTTAGGTGTAAATTGGCGTTAGTAATACTTGAAAACCAATATGCCTTTCAAATCATCATTAAATTGGGTGGGGACCAAGCTTTTGTAAACTTCATAGGACTATAATCAATTAATCTCTATGTTCATGAACTTCAACTAAACATCGCTGAGTCGGTAAACCAGAACTCCTGTAGAATAATAACTCTAGCATGAAGATGATAATAAGTCTCCAACAAAACTGTTGAAAAGAAAATGTTTTTTTTTTAAAAAAAAAAATCGCCTTGATATCCGTTAAAACAAAAAACATTTGGTGACCAAATGACTTTAATTAGGTAGGTGACATCTAATTTTTGCGTCGTACCTCATGCTTATATTCATGTATTAGAAAACCAACACTCTTACCATATCATGCAAAAACAAAAGGAAATAACTGGTGGTCTGTGATCCTGAACGGCTCAGGGGCCATAGAAAGAGCAGCGACAACACAGAGAAGGCACACACAGTTGCATCTGCACCAAGCAAAAACCTACAAGACAACCCAGAAACACAAAAAGCTTGACACGCGATATCCTGTCTAATATAATTAAAACCTGCATTTAAACCCCCACAAGATCAAAGCACATGCTTAGTGTTTAATTACTTCATGGCAAGACTTTGGCTGTAACGTGGTGCAATGCTCAGCCCGATTAAAGAGACCGGCTCCTTCGCGGTAACCATTATAGGGATAGCAGCCACTGTGAAGGCAATGGCCAAAATCCTAAGTGTGATTTGAGCCATGAAGAAACTCCTCTGTGGTCGACCTGGGGTTGACGTGCCTTGTGGAGACTTGGCTTTGAGAAAACCGTTTTCTGTTGTATTCTCTGGAGTTGCCATTGATAAAGAAAAACCCTTTCTGTTGCACAGAAATTGAACAGAGTGCAAATAGAGGATGAAATCAAAGAAGAATAGGAGATGTTGGTACAGAGAAAAGGGTTTTTCCTGGGTGGGCTGGTATAAAAAACAAAGAGGAACTCTAGTTTGATTTAAAGTTCTACAAGCAGCCATAAATAAAGTGAACGGAACTCACCCACCCCATAAATGACAAGTCAAAAAAAAAGAAAGAATATAAGGCCTTGCAGATGCCAGCCCAATAAGAATTCTAAAAAAGAAGTATTGTCTCCTTTTTTTTTCTTTTTTTTTTCCAATAAAGAATTTGCATTATTTTCGTATTCTTTTCTAATTTAAATTAAACGAAATTAAAAATTTTAGAATAATCAAAATTCAATTTAAAATTCCATAAGAATAATAATTATGAAATGAGTAATGCCCGAAAATTATTTTAAAAGTCCATAACTATTTTAATAAAAAGGTCCTTCCAAAAGCTAGAAAGTTTGTGTCAATAATACTATATAATAATAATAAAAAAAGGGCTAGAGAGTTACTTATAAACACATATTTAATAATTATTTGGTGTTTAAATTAGATAACTTGCTCGTGTTTGGAATTAGAATAATTTTTTTTTAAATATTTAGAATATAAAGAACTTTTTAATATTATTATTAATTTCAGCTTAATAAGTTGATTTTAAAATTATTTTATTTGATTTTTTATATAGGTTGAGTTTTAAATTAGATTATATAAAATTGCTTTTATATGATTCAATTAAGGTACGCAAACAGCTCATCAGCAACAGCACCGTGCGCAGTGGACCAACAGCTCCTCAGCAGCATTAGAAGACTTTCCTTAGCAGTATCCGGCATCATCTTCTCCGCATCGTGGCAAGCAGCAGCAGGAGCAACAACTGTCTCCTCAGTCATGCAATAGCAGCTCAGCCTTTATCTCCTCTGCACCTTGAGTAACAGCGGAAGATCTTCTCCATCAGCAACCATTGGTCACGGTAGTATGGCAACTTTCTTCAAGTGGTAGTAGCAGAGTAATAGCCGGTCTTTTCCTCTTCATCATAGCAACAACAAAGGTTGCAATTTTGCGACAGCTTTTTCTTAGTAACAGTATCAAAGCACCTACAGTTTTTCTCTTCCTCTTGGTCACGACAGTGGTAACTCAAGCAATAGAGGAGCGCACCTGACAGTCGAAACACATTTCTCTTCCAGCAGCAGCTCTGCCCTAGTGTTGGACCAGAGCTACATCAGCAAAGTCTTCAGCAGCCTCACCGTGACATCATGTTCCAGCCGAGAACGACAGCAGCAACACCGTGAGCAACAAACGCCAACACTCCAGCTTCTGTAAGCATCTAGCAACTTCTTCACCTCAGCAAGCCTTCAACCATAAGCCAGGAAATGTTTCTCTCTTACTTCTTCTTGTGGCATGCCTCTACATATGGTGTAAATATGCAAGTGTATGCTGTGTAATTGCTGGAAAAAAAAAATGCTTATATTGGTGGCATTCAAATTTGCCAAATAATGGCTATCAATCCTGACTGATGAAGAGAAAGGAGGTTGGGTCTCTATTTAGGCTGGATTTGTTTCATGAAAAAGGAATTTTGGGCCATCTGTTGGCATTATTAGATTGGTTCTTGGGCCTATATTACTAAGATAAGTCTGTCCTAGTCTTAAACTAGCTTTAAAACTGTGCTGATTTCATCAAAGTAATATTTTTTAGTTTTTAAGGTGTGTTAGATATTTTTCTGTCACTGGTTTTAAAATAAGAGTATGTTTGAGAAAAAAATAAAAATAATAAAAAAATTTCTATTTAAAAATATATAAAAATACATTTTTATTTGTTTGCATATGACCAGGTCTCTCAAATATAAAAATAAAATCGTATTTGCATAAATAATAAATAATAAAATACAATACAAATACAAAAAATTAAGAAAAATAGTTTTGTTAATATCTTTTCATGAATTTTTAAATTTAATAATAAGTTTATGAAATTCATGAGAACTTGATCTACTTTCAAAAATATCAAAAAGTCTATTTTATTTGTTCAAATATCAAGGATTATAAATTTATACATAAGATGTATTATTGATAGCAAAAGAAAAATGCAAAAAATATGTTTTGATATTAGAATAGTTAAATTTTAACCTAATAAGATAAGAGTCTCCTTATCGAGAAGGATCTTTCTTAAAATTTTAAACAGAACAAAAATTAAAAAAACACAATAATACCTTAGTTTATATTGAATAAATAAAAAATACAATTTACCTTAAATAAAGTGTATTAGGGGTGATATGTCTTTTCTAAACACAACCAATTTTCTTATCTAGATTCTAAGACTAATTAAGGTTTCTAGTGACCAAGATATTAGATGGTGACTTTAATTTATTTTTTTAAATAAGAAACAAAAATTATTTATTCTTTTTACTCATTACCAAAATATCTTGCTCTAAGAAGATGATCATTGTGATATCACACACCTGTGATAATATCTATGGATGATAATTATTTAATAGTGAACTTGTGACTATTTTTATAATATAAAACAAAAACAAATCTACCATTTTTATGAACATATCAATTAGAAAGACAAAATTTATAGTGAAATTTTTAGGGCATTACACACTATAAGATTTTCCATCATGATACTTGGCCTTTTATAATGCAGATTAACTAGTAATCAGTCCAGGACATGTTATGATTAGGAAGTGCATTCAAGATTGGTCTATTATCAATTAACACCTTTGTAATTATATAGTCTTTATACTTTACATTGATGTATAATGGTTTCTTGAGTTTTATCTCTCCATCTAACTCATATTTTATAAAGTATTTGCAGCTAATGGTTTAGATCCTGCCTACCAAATATTTCATGGAATCCTATATAATATCTTGTGGGATATAAATCATAGTATATAAATCTAAATGAGAGTTTTTTTAAATTATTCCACCACACTATATTCATTAAGTTTTATCAATTTCAGGTATTTACTAATCTTTTTCTCACTTGTAGGCTTGGTGACCTCATCATTCTTGGTCAACTTCTCGACTACTTTACCTTGTTTCTTTTTTTTTTCTTTCTAACTCTTCTAGTGTAAAATATCTTCCACTCCTTATCAATCATCTTATTTCATCTTAAAATTTTAGGAAAGACCCTTGATATGGAAGGCATATCTACAACTATAAGGTTGTGTATTATAATTTTCATTGTTTGAATAAATAGGCTTTGTCAAAATCATTTTAGAATAACTTACAATCAACTAATATCTACATACTTTAAATGTCTCATCTTGGAATACCACCAATCCTATCTCACTTTTAATCTTGTCATATCTTATCCTTAACACTTTAAAGGCTATTATAGCCTTAACTCTATGATAAAATTCTTCACAAAAATCAATATCATGACCAAACTAGCAATGGTATTTGCAATATTCACCAGAATTTATATCAGCTAGT